AACTTGGTTTGAACCACTTTAAATAATTTTTTAGATAACTGGCGCTTTTGTCCTCATGCCTGAACACGTAAAGATAAAAGCACTTAACTCTTCAGACGTCAATAAATATGCTTCAGGCGTTAAAGGCTACAAATGATTAGGAATGCTAAAAAATTGAGCATAGAAACGACACAGTTTTCTGCCTAAGTTTACAGCAAATGAAGTAGAGTAGAAATGGAGCTTTTCTCAAGTTTAATCTAAACAGACGGCGGCATGTTCGTGACTTCCTCTCATTCGAGAATAAGCGCGACAGTGAGTGTCTTGGTTAAAGCTATGACAAAGAAGGGCATAATATAAGAAAGAATAAGGCAACATTTTTGAAACAAAGTTTTGACACTGCCCTTTTTCGTACTTTGATAGAATACGTCTATACAGAGTAAATTCACCCTAAATATCACAATCTACAGGTCGGCTCGTTTGGCTCCTGGAAATGAACAGCACTACGGAACGTCTAACTTTAGCTGACGCGTATTTTTCTTCCACAAACGAGTACTACTTCGAACGACCTCCCTCATTATTTCACATAGTCTATCAATTTTATCTAACTGGTGCGTTAAAACATTTTGGAGTTCTTTCATCTTTTCAGGTCTATTAATATGCAATCCATTTAGGTCAGATACATCAGCCTTCCCATCTTTGCCCCATTGACATCCTGGATGAGTTAGATTATTGGGGTATTGTACCGGATAGCTACCTCGCTCCATGCTGCTGTGCAGATGATAATGTATAGGCAATTCCATAATATTATGCTAAATGTTAAATACCGTATATCTTTCACCTGAGAGACTTGTATTTAAGATATCTAGCAAACTGTAGGCACTAACAGAATCATAATTTTATGTAGTGATTTTTATGAAGTGAACAGATATTTAACAGAAAGCAGTAGTACAATAAACACATGCTTTTTATCCATACTCACACTGAAGCATGAAGTTTAGCAAGATCTTGACTCCATCTCCTCATTCTCTTCCGATGAGGCGCCCAACCTTTTCAAGCATTTGCCATTGGGAGAACTGCGGAGAAACATTTGGAATATCATTGAGGAACCCACAAGGTGAATGGTTTTTACAAAGGTCGAGTGCTTATATCTTGTTATAGCGTTCAAATTTTTTGAGCTGGCATCTTAGGAGATTTTTAGCAGATAAAGAGACACGTTGTGATAAGGAGCAAAATATGCACATAAAAGAAAATAACGCATAATTCGTGCGTATATGAGTTATCAGATAGTTGCGACACTCACTTGTACATGGAAAATAAAATTTCCGCTCTTTTCCATGAATTAGCTTGAACACAAATATTATACAATTATACTAAAATTTGAGTTTTAATTAGCTGTGTCTATTGTGCTTCTCTTTTACTATTGCTACTAAGCCTATCTCAATTTCAGAACTTAGAATTTCAGTTCTGGCTATGCCCAAGTTTTCGCCACATTTTCTGTACTGTTCGTGTTAATATCAATTTCGGGACTTGTGCTAGGCTCCCTTCCAGATCTGCAAGTTCCTGTTCAAAAGAACACAACCGAAGGTAAGAACCAATTGATCCAAAATTTACATACCCTGCTTATTTTACATTAAACTAGGTAGATTAGAGTATTGCTAGAAGATATCTAAGTGCAATATTATGGTGAATAAAGAATATTTTCACGATGGAATACCATAATCACACGGATCTGACCATTCTACAAAGGGAGAGAGAGCATTTTAGTTTAAAAACATTCATTGAGCGCAAGAAACTTGTAACAATTCATGTGACTCCGCTAATTTAATGAACATCGACTAAATCATGAATTGTGTTCATTTCAGAAACAGCAAATATTACTTTAAGATTGCTGTATAAGAAATCAAAAGATAAAGCTGACAGTCTAATCTATCATTTTGTGATTCTAACCACTGTAGAGTTAATTTGAATGATATAATGTTTCCAGGAG